CTACTACTACTACTACTACTACTACTACTACTACTACTACTACTACTACTACTACTACTACTACTACTACTACTACTACTACTACTACTACTACTAGGATTGATTCCGCGTCAGCTGCAAAATAAGACCATTCCTGATGTAATCAAGCAAACAGAAAAATAATTTCGTCCATGGTTACCGTAACTACCAGCTTAATGTTAAAACTCAAAAACATGGTCTGTCGAAGTGGACAACGAATATCTCCTCTCTGTTCGGAGCAAGTAATAAGAATGACCAATGATCCCGGCAGAAAATTCAGCAAAAGGAAAATATTTCAACAAACTTTCAGATCTTCGGTGGTGGAAAGTCATTTTCTGTGTCCTTTTTACGAAGTCCCTTTTACGGGCTACAGATTCCTAAGGACTCTTCGAACTACTGTGTTAGCATACCACTGAACGGAAGAGACGGGATCGGGTGAACGACGACCGATGGATGGACATGATACAGCAAGGTGAACCAACGGAAATGCATGGATCCATTTGAAGAATGCCTGTCATTGGGTTATGTCAAAAGAGAGCGAGAAGCTTGCCAGCTGAACGAAAAGTGTGAATAACAAAATGAGCGTACGACTATTCGTACGACCATTTACAAACCATGAATGACCTATCTACGAGAATTAAAAGATGGAGAGGTACTGAGGGCTGGAAATTATCGTAAGGAAATGACGGTTTGATGAGTACCCGAACCTGCTAATCGACCAGCTATACGCAGAATGAAACATAGCGCCCTCTCATCCCATCCTTACTTATTTCAGGAATACATAAACATCGAGACGCTCAAATGAATACGTGAACACCCTAACTGTCGTGGGTAAGCACACTTGAACACATCAGCCACCGCATCTGAACACAAGACAATCGCCGCTCCCAATCGCCCCAATTCCTTATGCGCTGTAAATTACGGCTGTCAATTATATCGGCGGTAAAGCACGGCTTGACCGGAAAGGACACACCTCACCAATCATGGAGGTGAATGAGAGTGTAGGAGGAGAGGCAAAGGAATGCGAGAGGCTACCGTGTCATTTAAGGTAAGGACGAAGCGTGACAGTTCAACGAAATCCTTAATAAAGTTAAGCCCCGGGAAGTGGATGTATGTCACTGGAATGGGAATCCCTTAACCAGATGGAATGAGTTGCAGGAAATGGAAAAGATATCAAGTTCCTTTATCGCAACGCTATCACTTGGAGCTATTATTTAAGGAACCTTCTGTGTATTCCTTGCTAATACGACACAGTATAACCTGTTATGACTCATTAGATGCTCCCTTTCCAAACCTACGGTAGCACCGAATTGGTTACTTTCACGGATTCGTTCTAGTTAGATTTGCTTCCCTCTGCCTGTATTATGGGCCTGTTCCCGACTCCCTTTATAGGCCCAACCGCCGTGGTGTTTGCTTGTTTTTGACAAATCTATAAGAATTAATTTCTTCATGAATTCAAGAAGGTGAAACATTTGGTTGAAGCCTTTCACACGAGAATATTGCTGCTTTGTGAACGCTGACAGATTAGTCGTGAGTATCGTTCGGAAATTCTTCTCACAGCTTTTTCCGACGTATCCATCTTTGAGAGATACGCTCATTGGATGAAAGAATCTTTATAAATCAAATGATAAGAAATTGGAAGCTTTATTTCAAGACTGATCAGTGGTTAATATCGAATATTATCAGGTATTTGTGTCAACAGTCGACGATTCTAAAAAAAGTGTAACTTGAATCAAAAAGGGATAAAAAAGAAGTAAAGGAAATGAACAACCTGGTGGACTTTCGTCGCCTTGATGAAACCCGTCTCCACAGTTCATCTTCCAGAAACAACCGCTCTCTGTCAAGTCAGAAGCTGAAGTGTGCGCGCAGTCGGTCCGTGCAGGATTTTGTGGCATTTAAATTTGCATATCGATTGTTCGTAAAATGATATATTGTTCAAATGCGATAAAATCTGCAATCCATTATTTTTGCTTTGATGCGGGGGATTTTCTAAATTACAAAAACTATTAGTTTTATGGGATTTGATTCCTTATCTGTTTACTTCCTCGAAAAAAAAAAGAAAAAATGAATCCGATATTTCAGAAGTTTTGTTCCTTCACAAATCATTTCTCGAGAAGGGAACAAAGTTTAGAATTGGTCCAGATAGATCTACCTGTAAAAGTCTATTTAAAAAAATTGTGGATTCTGATCTTTCCCGCAAAATTATGCACTTTCCCGTCAAATTTGTAAAACCTTTTTGCTGCTACATTTGGCCTTTTTTTTGCAACGATTTGGCAGAAAGTTATAAGTGTTATAATAAATTTTGACCCGTCCGAAAAAGTTTACAAAACGTTGTATGTGAGCAGACTTGTCCTGGGAACATCTGAGGAAATAGTAAGCTACAAATTTACGGTTTTCTCCTACAGTTAAGCATGTTTGTCCAGTGAATCTACTTTCCTGTACTTTAATAGTTGTTTAACATGTGACAGACTTCTTATTGAGATAAGTTAGAGGTTGGACTAGCGAATGTGATTGCAACTTTTCCTTTTTTTCCAAAGCCAGTATAATTGGCCAGGCTTTTATCTCACCACACACCACAGCATTGTGAAAGCTGAGGTTTTATACCTTGTTTTCTTTTCCTTTTTTTTTCAAGTTGATACGGTAGGATTGAAAGAAAATAGTGGGAAACTGCAACATAGATTTGTGCCTCTTAATGGATTTGTAGCAGTATTGTGGGATTTTTTTTTTGACCAAAGGTCAATGCATATGTTGCTTATTTTTTGCAAAGCACAACATCAAACCTTTGATAAACTGGCAGAGATTTTTGTAACACTCCTCAGCATAAACCTATCAATTTTGTTCAGCGCTGAAAGATAGATTATTTGCGTCTTCTCAAGCGAAAAGCATTGAGAAGCAGTGTAAAAGAAGAAGCATTACTTGAGCAGCTGCTACTTCAGCTTGTTGTTCTGTTAAAGTCGTTGGCTTAACAGTCTAACCTCCGGATCGGATCTGCTGTAATGCTCATCAACTCTGCATCTGTTTTTTCTGCTTCTACATGGAATCTATACAAATTCATTGTTTGAACGTAAAATTTATTTCTCATTAGTTGCAAGACTATGAAAAATCATTCACGGAACAATGGAATGAAGTTGAACGATTATCCTCTTCTGCTTGTCTAAATCTCGTAAAATCGATCAAGTTGTTTTATGAAAAATCCAGAATAAGGTAAGTCTCTTATTTGATAAGTTCAAATTTTCAATTTTTCCTTTTTTTTTTGAAAAGCAGAATTTCGAATTGGTAGAGATAAAAATTGATAATTGAAATGGTATTTGATTAATCAGAACAGTGATTGTCGCTGTTGATTTCATTGTGATTGTTGATGCTTATCTCTTTCCTAAAATCTACCTTGACTTTTCATGAAATGACTGTTAGCAGATTTGTGACTATGATTGGATGGCTTCTATCCACTGTCTTATTTGCACTCTTCAATTTCTGCTATGCTCAACATCGCCTAACCATAAACCCAATCGAATTACGAACGACCAAAGGAGAATTTTTCATTTATACGCTTCATTCCGGCAACTTTTTCCCTCAAACAGGTAATAATTTATTTATTTTTAGTTTTACTTTGCCGTGCTCAGTGATACTGGTATGGAGGATTGAATCTGATACGATATCATCAATAATATATTTGTCGTTGAAACTGTAACGTCTATCAATATATTTTATGTGCGCTAGCAGTAAACTAATAAAAACCGCAGTAGATAAATGAATACAGTATGAGGTTAGTTGTATGTTTCAAAGGTCGTTCCTTTTTGTTTTGTAGATAATTCTTGTGGACAACAACAGCTGATTTTCGCATGCCTTATATGCTTCTCATTCGTTTATTATTTCAAACTTTTGAATTCCTCATTTTTTATTCTCTTCATTAGACTTCTGGTATTTTTTTCAATGACAAGACGAGGCATCTTTTTGAAATGTTACAAAAAATGCTATTTCTTAAGAAGACAGATCGATGAAGGCAAGTTTTTGCAGTTGATGTTAAATGGTCTGCTTCCTTGCACGGCCGACCTGCTTTGCCATTATGGTTACATTTGATGTCCTCTAGACACAGAGCCCTTGGATACTTATATGGTACTGTTGTTTCACCTCTTAATCAAGTTGTTATACATGTTATTGCTCGACGACTGGATAATTACGACAAAGCAGAACAGTATATAACAATATTTTTGAATGATAACGGTAAGATATGATGTGCATATAAATGTAATTTTTGTATTGCTACTCTGCATGCAATTACACTCAGTTTTACAGTGCCTGTTTTAGTTACGATGTCGAATTCTTTTTTCCAGAGAAGTACAGTAACGCAACTCAGCAATTTGCCGAAGTTTACATAAAAAATTACGATCCTGAAGATCTCTTAACTGATCGCACTCGAACTATTGATCGATTGCAGAAATCAATGAAAGATTCATTCAGAGGAAAAGGACTGAATCCATATATATTCCAGATTTTACCCGCTGGAAATTCACCACCTCAAGATGCCCAGCTCGATCTACGCCATAAAGTTGGGTAAGTTATGATGTAAATCTTGATGAAGTTTGCGTCGCACTTCCACGCATGGTAGGTGGCTACCATATCTTGTAAAGAGTGGCGAGTGACAATCAGATTCGATAAAAAAAACCACTGAGTGCTATCCAGGTATCTATTTTCTCTAACTTTAACGAACTGTTCATTTTAGCGAATTTTTTTTAGAAGCATAGTTCGAATTGGGACGCAAAATCGCTTTCATGTGAATGTATTGAATTTGGAACGTGGATTGCAAAGGAATCCGCAATACTGCAGCAAGGATCAGCTCGTACCATTGAACAAATTTTTTGCTCCAGTTTTTCAAATTGATTGGTGCAATTTCCATGTGGTACTCATTTACTCGATTGGGTCAAATGGAATGTTTTGAGGGTCGATATCGTAGGGTCCATTCAGGAAAATTATACATGGCCATATCTTAACTAAATTAATGACGGACGTGTGGTATTGAATGTCTAAATAGTGCTGGTAAAAATTATTTGTCTGTTGCGTTTTTTTTTAAAAGATTTCATCAGCTTACTGTGGCAAAGATAAGTTAACTGTGGTAGTGATTCATTTTAAATAATCATGAGATGAGAAGGCAGACAAGTTTCCCATTGTTGAAATGTTATTTATTGCAGAAAAATGTAACAGCACCACTTATTCACAGTAACGATGCAGGGCTGGAGCAAAGGTCGATAAAGATAATCAGACCAGAAACTGAAACGGTGCATACTCCTTATCACCAATATCAGCTATCTACTTCATCCATATTGAAAGCGGAATCTCCCGTGTTACACGCTAGATACTATTTTTGGGAATCGTTCTTGGTGAGATGTTCGTAAAAAATTTTTCCGAATTATTAGCATTTGTAATCTTATCTACTCATCTCAAAAAAAAAGCCACTGTTAAGATTTTCATTTAGATGTTCCCGATGTTGGGTGTATGTTGTATCCTCTTGCTTATTCTTCTAAGCCTTATTTTCTTTGGCCGTCGCGAAGGTCAACACTGGAGGGACTACAAAACGCCGAAGTATGCTTTCTTTTGACTTATTACTTTCGCAGTAGTGGCACGCTGGTTTCATATGAAACTCACTCACTGCAAATGTTTTTTAAGACGACAGTTGGAGGAATACGCTAGCGTACGTGACAGTCAACGCCATTTGCGTGAGCTTTCCATGCAACGACAAATACTTCTAATGGATTCGGACAGAGCACAGTCGCATACTCCACTTGGCTTGTTTTATTATTAGATTAATCTTAATGAATTTATCTAAGTCTGGTTTAAAAGAAAATTTTTATAATTTCAGGGATCCATACATTCCTGCAGCCAAAATCTCCAAGTCGGAATCCTTCTCCAGAAAATCTTCGAGCTGATCCATCCATTCGTGGTTCTCGGTCACCTTTACTAAAAGGATCGAGAGCTCATTTAAGTATGTCAAAAAATTTGTTCCCTTGTGCATTCTGCTTGAATTATACATCTGAACCAAATATCTCGATATTTGCTTTTAGTCAAAAGAAAAAATGTGGCCAATAAGACATTCGGATTAAACATCTGTTCAAAACTACTGTTTCAGGTATAAGCCCAGAAAAAACTTTTGATGGCCCTGTCATTCCGATGAGCAAACAAACAGTTGCGGAAGCAGCGAAAGCTTGTGGTTCATCACTGCATTTGTATAGAAATCCATTCGAAAGCGATCCAAATGATAACAATACAGAAGAACAATTCACTGATGGCGGTGGTCAGAATGACCTAGACGACACAAGAAACCCGTAAAATGAACTCATTACCTCCTGACTTTCTCTCTCAACTGTTCCTAATTTGTATCGTTGGTCTTCATGTATATCTCTCCTTCCTCTGCCGATTTTTCGTTTTTTTTTTTTTAAACCTAATTCAGATAGATGAAAAACTGATTAGATTACGCAATTAATACAGAAATGAAGCCCAGTTGGACTTCAATTCAGATAGACTTATCCGATTTCGTATCCAATAAGACCATTTTGGTGGCACTTAATAATAAATTTCCCGTGTCCACTCCACAGCGCATCCACCCACTTCTCTTATATTTTCAAGTTTTACGAAAACTCCATCCTCTTTTTTCCCGCCTACTTTACCTCTCTTCTACTCAACACACTAAGTCCCGTTCCTCCAGTCAAGTTATAGCTCACCATGGATTTGTGAAATAAAGACTATCTATTTGTATTCATTCTCATCAAAAAGTAATCCAAAATTCCAGACTAGATATTTTGAAGCTTATAGGACCAACATTTACCTGTCCGTATGATACCACCGATAAACTCTCAGGATGTAAGTATTCTCTTACGAGATCGAAAATATGACGTGGCTGGAACGTGTGCATATCTGTGGATTGGATCCCACATCTTTTGTACTTTTAGTAGTGGGAGGACCTTTTAGTTTTGACGATGATTGAAGAAGGATGAAGGTAATATTGTATATTAAGGGATTACCCTGTATTTCAAGGATTCAATTTTCTGCGAGTATAAATAATATATAATATGACAGAAGAAACATACTGTAGAAATTGAAGCTTTATTGAATGAATCAGTAAATCTTATGAAGGGACGAACCTTGTTTTGGAACTTTGTCATGGACAAAATTGATCACATATTCGGTGTGCTATGGACAATAAAGAAACGGCACTAGCATTACAACACCACACTATCGAAGAACTCTAACGAAGAAATTAACAACAGCGCGCAATTTACAGAATCAGACAATAATCACGAAAGGCACCGATACAAGCTACAAAAAGAGATGCACTGTGTGAAGAAAAAAAAAAAAACTAAAGCAAAGCATAATCATGAAATAAAGCAAAGAGGAAATACGGCAACAAGGCAACCAGATCCCCAAGTTATACGACCAGACTCAGACAGACCTACCAGCACAACGGGGAAATAAGCTATAAAGACACAGCCTCGTTAATAGCAATGAACGGATCGAAAGCAACATGTCAACAGTACAGTAATTTTGAGGATGATCGCTAGGGGCGGGTAATGAGTAATTTTATACATCAACATCATCGAAATCGTCTTCCTGAGCAAGAGGCGGAGCTCTTGTATAACCTTCACGGATAGTACAGAGTACGTCTTCTGGATCTAGTCCTTCCTCTTCCACTTCTCTGCAAATCTCATCGACCTGCAAGTCATTATTATGATTAAAAAATAACTAGGATAATGATTCTTCTGATGAATTAATTCAAGAGAACAAGCTATCTCGACGTAATGTCACTTAACCAAAGAATGGCAATGACAACGAACGCATTAGGTACTCACATCTATGCGATGCATGGTTCTTCCATTTCCTAACCTCTTACGAGGGTAGATTTCAGGTGGACTTTTTGATCGAAAACGTCGTACGCGGCACATGTTGAAGGTGAATGAGTCGTCCTGAAAAACATTATGAAGAAAACGAATGTTTCGACAATACAGAAAGGGTATTTCCACTTAACAAATCAAGTATCGCCAACTTCAATGCCACCGAAGTTTTCATCATCTGTGTCCGAATTTTCATCGAAGTATCCATCAATCCCATTAGCAATCTGCTCAAACTCAAAATACTGCCCACTTGTCGCTGTTTTCGGAATTTCTGGTAATTCACTATAATAAACAAGCTGTTCCTGACGAACTTTCACATCAAAATATTTACTGGCTCAATGAAAGTAGTTGTCTGCCTTGTTCTTTCTAAGTATTTGCAATTTTCATTTACTAAAATACTAAAAAACTGTAAATAAAACAACGCCTTTGCAAAACGTAAGATTTCTAAGAAATAAATATTGCAAATGTGTCATTCAAAGTGCTACTATCGTCCTCCTCACGTGAAAGCTTCTCGCTTAGCAAAATAACTGAAGAGGGATTCTTCGATAAATATAAGTTCAATAGTACTTTGAAAAAAAAAAGAGAAGTTTTATCTTTAGTGTAGCTGGTCTATGCAGTGAATGACAGCAGCATTCACCAGATCACTGCCTTCATGTTTTTTTGTTTGCATTTCGAAGCAACAATATACTATGCTGTTATCGATATGGTTATCAAAATGGAAAATGAATTAGAAAATTTTGGAAAATGTAGAACACGAACCAATCAGCATAAGATAACAGTGGTTCACTTGGAGGTTTTACCATATGGTCATCGAATCCGTTAACATTAGAATTACCATCCATGTGGGGAAATCTCATTCTGTTGTCGTTTTCAGCACCTTAAATTTATACTAACTGTACAAAAAAAGCCATTCGAAACGACAAATCAGTTCACTTTCAAAACCCATATCCTAGTTTTGAATGCTAAAAAAAAGGTATCGAATTGTGAAGAATGAACTAATCAATGATAAACTACAATTTTCTTTTTTCAGATCCAAAGAATAAAAATAAAAGGAGTAGGGAAGTGCGCCTCGAAAAAGAGAGTGGGAATAGAAATTTTCGGGAAAATGTTAGAAAAAACGAAAATACTGTAGTAAAAGATTTCAGGGAAGCTCCATTGAGTTAATTTAAGCATTGCGAAACAGTTATCTTTACAATCCCAAAAATTTAAATAGAAGCGAGTAATAATATCAATATTATATTGATTTTTAACGGACGAAGTCGAATTCGACACGTAAGAACCACATCAACAATTATAACAAACAAGCTGTATTAGAAATGAAGCAAATGGATAATACAAACTGTTTATCAACATTATGACAGACACTTCGAAAAAATTTTTTCTTCTGAAAAATGTCATAATCTTATATTATCGACTTACTGGTGGTCCAAACTGACCGCATAATTAGACCTTACCAATATTAAATTTAAATATAGAGAATAAATGCTACATATTTCCCTTTTCCTTGATAGATTCGGCTTCATTTACACTGTTTCGGTCTTCATTAAATTTCATAAGAATGGTTATATTATCTGTTAACGTCACAACCAGATGTAAATTTAGATATGTTTCTTCGAATGCTGTCCATTCGCCTATAGCGACTCCGAACTCTAAAGCATATTGGAATATCTAGACTTGTTTATATTTCAACCCAATACAACTTCAGGCTCTAAAGCAATATGATGCAGTTTGTACCATCTCTTAAAAACCAATTCACCACCAATTAATACTTGAAAGGGTAAAAGAAATATTGAAGCTTTGTTTTATCCCATTCACTGTAGCTTGCTGGGAAATACGATACTTCATATGAGTTGTAACAGACAACACCTCTTCTTTTTCCGCCCAATCTTTCAAGGCTAATGTACACAGAACGATTCCTCAAAATCTTTAGTTCTTTCACAGCGATGCTGAAACCAACCGAAAATAAAGCTGTGCCATGCATATGAGCTGCAAAGCCCATTTACACTCCTACTCCTAAATACACTATGCAGAAGGAAGTGGGATTTTATAAGAGTGATAATGACAATTTTTAGAAAGCATAAGAGCGAACAACAGTTTGAAGGATTTTTTTAAAACGTATACCTATCATGAGCAGATTAAAGAGCTGAAAATATTAAATACGCGGAACAGAGGAAGAAATGAAGATAATGGAACGAGCTCGATACAACAAAACGACAACTACAAACAGCATAAACAGCAGTAAAACACTGTTCTAAACGCTTTTTTTTTTCAGGAATATACTGTAAAATATGTATGAAGTGTTACAAGGCGAAAACAGAGTTCGAGCCAACCATACCAGTCACCCATATCATCCTCCAGCCCATACTAAAACATCAAGATGATGAAGGGAAATGAGTAAAATGAACTGATGGATGATTTAATCCAACTGCATAACATATAGCATAATTAGGGAATGAATTTCATGTCAAAATTCATCATTTTTTTTTCTACTTTTATAATATCTCAAGTGACATATATATTCTACAACTAGATATCAAACTTTATTGTTTGTAGGATTGTAAGAATTGTACAAAAAAAAAAAAAATTACAAATAATTCTATCCCATTCTACAGTTGTAATCTGAACAAATCAAATCCTTTTTTCAAATTACACACTTCTTTGATTATATAAATTTCTTCATATATTGCAAAATCAATACTTAATTGACATTTCAAATTTTTGATAATGCTATTCGAAATGAAGCAAAATCACAGACCTGTACTACTGACATGCACCTGAGCATAATCCACGAAAGCCATCTAAATCGTGTAGCGCGATAGTTTTTTACGAGTTACTTGAAATCATTCAAGCCATACCTGGAAATTACAACGCCGTGTAATTTAACCTTGCTTATTAAAGCATTCAAATCGTTTGTGAACTGCATAAACTCTGAATTTAACCGTATATGAGCAGGTGAAAATCGATTATAGCAGGTGGAAATCGATGAATGGAATATGATGGAATGAAGTAATGAAGTGCATTGAGGTGAAAAACAGCTTACAGATTGGAAATATGGAGGATGACCTTGTAAAGTAGTAAGCCTGAATCGTCAAATAACAAAAAAAGGAGCACTTAATCGGGTTTACATTTGTTTTTATCCATTTTTATCCGTGATACTTTTATTCTCGCCTTATGTTAATAATCATATCCATCCATGAATGAGACCAGAAAGTGAACATAGAGTAGTGAGAGATGGAACTTCATGGTCATAAAATAAGACTTCCACGTCATTCATTCGAATGGAAATTCGAGATTATGCTGTTGTGAAAGGAAAAGAAAGGGAGAAAGAAAAAAAGGAAAAGATAAATACGTTCCTTTAATTCAAGAAGTGCAAACACAGAAATGAGTTAGAGGTTAGAAAGAACAAGCGAACACAACGCTTTTTTGACAAAGAACATACCGAGTAGGAATATATGAAGCAGAAGCAATAAGAACAAGTGAACTTGCTTGAATATGCAATTTGAAGCACTTCCCTTAAAGAAGAGGGAGAGGAGAGGGAAGGGAGAGGGAGAGAAGAAGGTGGATGTTTACGCCTACCTCATGAAGCAGCAGACTAGAAGTATCCCAGAAGATGAACCTATGCGCATGGGAGCAAATAGACATTCAGACATTAACAGAATGGTCTCATATAAAAGTAATGGATAGAATGTCTCTTTTTCTAATAAATTATAAAAATAAAGCATCAAACACTCCAGCATTGTGTGATTTCCGGAAAAACATTAACGCTTCTTCCATTTCTAGCAGCTTAGATGAAGAAGCTAATCATTCCGGAATGCTAAGCTATTTTGGATTTGAGCACTCTACAGGTACTTGTATTATGAGAACCATTCCATCTGTAGCCACAGAAACAGGATTGGAAAGCGAGGGCGAGAGAGAGGTGAACCTCGCAGAGGAAGAGATAGATAGATAGATAGATAGATAGGGAGAGAGAGAGGGGGAGAGAAAGAGAGGGAGAGAGAAAGAGAGAGAGAGAGA